GGCTGGGAGAATGTTTGAGGGGAGTCAAGAAAATCTCAGTTGGAGAGGCAAGCCTGATTTCCAAAAACACCAAGGAAAAGGAATTCAGAGATAGAGCCAAGAAAAATTGTCTGAGAGTGAGTTAAGAAAACTGGTAAGAAGACCCGAGTGAAGTACAATGTGGACAGAGCCAACTGTAGGAGCAGGATAGGGACCAGAGTAAGAAACAATGAACAGTCCAGTTTGGCTCGAGTATACCTTGTCTGAAAAGGAGCATTGTGAAGTAAGAAAGTTATGCTTGCACCAGATTGTCAAGGGCCTGAAATACTAGAATAAAGAGCATGTATTTTGTTTGGTAGGCAGTGGGGAATGACTGAAGGTTTTTGAGATGGGGAGTGATGAGCTCAGACTTACGCATGAAAGGGCCTAACTTGGCAGTTATGCAAAGAAAGGGCTGGAGAGAAGAATAATTGGGGTCAGGGAAATCAGCTAAGAGTGTATTACAATAATTTAGGCAAAAATGGGCATCCTGTGGCATGTGGAAACGTCTTAGATTAGCTAGTTAACATCCAAGGTAGGATCTTGGTAGCAAAAATATTTTGCTTCTATCTTGACCCACATGCCAGGATAAGATACCTTAGCACATACACTTCTTCTAAGCAATTTGGGAACTTCTGGGGATGATTAGAAGCACACTTCTTCCTAGAATCATTGGTCATTGTTCAGAGATTCAAATTTCACAAGTGGAATCAATAGTTTGGTAAAAAGATTGATACTTATATTGCCATTGAATCTAACACTGCATTCTGGGCAGTCTTTTAAATGATAAATCATGGGATTTTCTTGAATGTGTGTTTTGTAATGAAGCCCTCCAATAGTATCTCCAATAGTGCTAAGCTTAACATTTCTAATGGTACTAAACAATGTCCTAGCCAGTGAGATCCACAATGTCATTTGCCATAAAAATGCAAGAAGAAGCTTTTACTTTTAATAATAAAGACATAATGCTTTTGTCAACAGAGTGAGCAGAACACAGAAAATGCCTGTGCCATACTATCGGAAGGTCGGCTTAGACAAAAGTAACTCCTGTCAGACTCCAAAAGTTTACCTTGATGCTCTATTTTTAGATCAAATATGTGGATTTAAATTCCACAGGAAGAAAAAGAATGGAGAAGAGAGGAGAGAGAGGAGAGGAGGGGAAAGAGGAAGGAGAGGAGAGAAGGGAGGAGAGGGGAGAATGGAAATGAGAGGAAGGGAGAGAAGAGGAGGGGAAGAGAGAAAAGAAAAGGAGAGGAGAGGAGGGGAATGGAATAGAGAAGAGGAGAAGAAGAAATTCCCTAGAGGATGAATAACAAATTCCCTGGAGAATTTGGGTACTCAGTGTTCATGAATAACTGACCTCTGGCAATATCTGAAGAGTATTAGCCTAACTTGGGTTCCAAACAGTTGCACCAGGAGTTACTCAGAGTCTTGATTGACTGACAATGGAATCTCTACTGATGAGGAATATGAAATATTAACACTTCTCTTCTGGGAATCTCAAAATGTTAAAAAACACATACACATAAACCCTAAATCCCACCAACTCACTCCATTTCACAGTTATGATCATCATCATAATAGCTAGAACTTATCTCTCACTTTAAGGTTTGCAAAGTACTACACATGCATTGTCTCCCTTGATCCCCACAACAACCCTGTGAAGGAGGTGGTATTATTATCCCCATTTTACATGTAAGAAAGCAGACTGAGGGAAATTCAATGACTTGCCCAGGGTTACATGACTAGGAAGTGAGTGTTCCAGGAATCAGACTCAGCTCTTCCTCACTTTGAATCCAATGCTCTACCCACAGTGCTACCTAGCTATTTCACTTTGTATAGAGAGCAACATTGGGGAACAGAGAGAATAAAATGATTTGTCCTAACGTCACATGGTGGGGTAGCGTCACAGTCGAGCCCCCATCGGTATGCCTTGTCCGGGTCTCTTTTCTCCTCAGGCCTTGCTTCCTCTTTTCTGAGGCTTTCACAGATCATGTTCACTTTTTAAAGGAAGTTTGTTGGGTGCTGTGTGTGTGTTTTGAAGTTTCTCTGTGTGCCTGACCTCAGTCAAAGGCAGAAGTGCAAGCCTCAAATGTCACAGGAAAGGCACTGCCTGTGGTTTATCTGCAACCCTCGCAAAATGAGTCTTGGAAACCAGCTGAGAGATGTAGAGCCTGAGTGATAGAAGGAGAAACTGGAACCAAGCACCATACCACCAAGCACCATACCACCCAGCTCCACCAACCCTAGCAGTTATTTGGGCATCCAATGAGACAATATGTATGAAAACACTTGGTAAATTGTAAAGCTTTGTACAAATGGGAGTGATTTTCATTATTTCCTTCCTTGAATGAGAGTCACCTGGAGAGAAGAGGTCAGAGGCCCGAGAGCTGCCGGCCAGTCTATGATGTCATATTATAGATTTAGGACTGGAAGGGACCCTTGAGGTCATTCTGCCCAACTTCTTAATTTTACACATTGAAGAACTGAGGCCCAGAGAGGTTAAATAACTAACGTGCCCAACGTCACAACAAACAGCAGAATAGGAATTCAGATCCTCTGGAAATCAACAACTCATAGGTAACTTAGGTCATAAGATTATAGTTTTAGAGCTGGAAGGGACCTCATCTAGCTCACCTCCCTGGGTGAGAAACTGAGGCTTAAGATTAAGAGACTTGTCGAAGGTCACCCAGGTAGGAAATAGCCAAGCTATCATTCAAACCTAGGTCCTCTGACTCCAAATCCAACATTCTTCTTCTATTGCCCCAAACCTCCTCTTCTCTATTTTGGAGCTCAGAGTTGGGGCTGATGATCAAAGACATTGGGAAATGGAGTTTAGACACAGGAAGAAGTGTCCCAGACCAGGCCACAGATCTGAGTGTCCGGGAGAGGGGGGTAGGTCAGTCTCCTTTCCTCGGGGAAATGTCCAGTGGGGCAGGGTTCTCCCACCTCCAGATTCTCCCCAGGCAGGGAAATTTAGGGAGAGAAGGGCAAAGGATCTGGAGTGAGTCACTATATGTTCTCCCCTTCCTTTAAAAATTACATTCAGATGAAATCAGGTTACAATGAGCATCAAAGACAGCTTTGAAGAGGAAGAGAGGCCCAGACTATACAGCTCTTTTTTTGCTGTGGTAGGAGGGAAAGAAAGAGAGGAGAGGAAGTCTTATCTGCTTTGGTTGGTAATAGGTGGAAATTGATGGGCTGACTGTGGGTCTATGAGCCTTAGGTCTTTGCGGTGCCACCTGGGAGAGTAACCTCTTTTTCCTATGTCAGCTGCCTCTCTGAGTCAGTGCCCAGCCACCTACTTTCCACAGCAACACAGGTCCCCCAAAGTACAGAGCCCCAGGGCTGATTATCAGAGCCCTAATCAGCAAGTCTGGCTCTTGGACTGAGGACCCTAAAACACTCTTGGGTTTAGTATGGAATAAATTGGGATTGGGGAGATGTGGGATGGAGTCAGAAACTCTGGACATCGAGGCAGGCCACAGAAAAAGACAACGCTGCTATATGGTACCTTCCTCTTCTGTTTTGTTTTGTTTTGTTTTGTTCTTACATAAATACGTTTTTGTTGATGTCTTTTGTTTTTTTTATCACTGTAATTTCCCCCAGTATTCATCCCCTTTCCAGAGAGCCATCCCATATGACAAATAGTATTTTTAAAGACAAAATAGGTGGGGGGGGGGAGGAATCAGCACAAGTGGAAAAAAACACATGGAAAAAAATCTGAAAATGTGTTCAATGTACAACACTTGTGTCCCTCCTACCTCTACAAAGGGGTGGGAGGTGCCTTCTCATATCTCTTCTTTCCAGTGATGGTGGTTCTTCGTAATTTTGTAACACTCACTTCTGATTTTTTTTTTTGTGGTTCTTCTTTCCGTTTACATTATTGCAGCCATTGTATATCTTGTTTTCTTGGCTCTCGCTTACTTCACTCTGTGTCAGTTCACGTAGATCTTTCCTTGCTTCTCCATGTTTGTTGCATTTGTCGTAGTAGATTCCTATTTTATCTAATTATTCTTGCTGTCTAGTCACTCAGCTCGCTTGCTTGTACCTGTGAAAGGAATGCAGATGCCAATCTCCTCTCAGTTCCAGCACCCTGGGAAGCAAAACCCTGGTCACCCTGCAATACTGATGGTTCTTTCAATATGCCATGCTTAGGGACAGTGCCCCCACCCTGCTGCACTCTGGAAGCAGTCAGCCAATGAGAGGTAAACCCTTTGCCTCAGCTACTTCTTGGGATGAATCAATCCCAAGACACCTGGGCAGTAAACAGGGCTAGACCTGGATTCAGGAAGATCTGAGTTTAAAGCCTGCTTCAGACATGGGCAAGTCAACCTTTCTCAGCCTCCATTTCTTCACCTGTAAAATAATAGGTTTGGAATAGATGGCCTTTAAGGTCACTTCCAGCTATAATACATATTTATTTATTGAGGGCTTGCTATGTGTCTAGCCTTGTATTAAATATTGTAAGTGATCAGAGTCCCTACCCTCAAGTAGGGTTGAGATGAAAATAATCAATTCAATTCAATAAACATTTATTAATTATATGTTAGATACTGTGCTAAGCCCTGGGGATACAAAAAGAGTCAAAAGATAGTCTCTGCCCCTAAGGAGTTTACAATCTAAGGGGGGGGGTGGTAAAAACATGTTAATATAATATACAAAGATAATAGATACAAGAGAAATAGAACATAACTAAAAGAAGAAGTCCCTGGAGTTAAGAGGGGTTAGGGAAGGCATGTGCGTGCACGCACGCACACACACACACACACACACATGCACGCACACAGGGACTGTTGTATAAGGTAGTTAGTGTATGCTAAGTGACAAGTAAGTCCTTACTGGCAGCACCATGGTTCCTCATACAGGCTGCTAAGGGAAGTTCTGACTGGGATAGAGCTGTGCACATTCAGGAGGGCAAGAGGGAGGGCCCACTGCCAAGAGACCAATTCACTGACCCAGTGCCTGGCGCATTAGGAGGTGATGACTTTGACAGGGATGCAGGCCAGCCCTTCAAGACCAAAAAGGAAGTGCTGCTTGGAGCCCTGTACGTGAAAGCAAGGCCATCTTTTTTTTTTATTTCATTCTTTGTTGGCTTTGAAAGTAACTCAGAATAGCTTATTTAACAATAGGGTGGGGTGAGAAGAGAAAGAAGGGAGGGGAGAAGAGAAGATGGTGAACAGAGAGAGAAAGACAAGGAGAGACAGAGAAAGGGGATAGAAGGAATCTGAAGAGAGTCTGACAAAGTAGGAGGAGAAGAAAAGAAGATCAACAGAGAAAAAGGAGAGACAGAAAGGGGGGATAAAAAGAATTTGGACAGATAGTTTAAGAAAGGAGAGGAAGGAGAGGGAGGGAGAAGAGAACATGAACAGAGACAGAAAGAGGGAAAGGGGGACAGAAAGAATTTGGAGAGAGAGTTTGAGAAAGCAAGGAAAGGAGAGAGAGGGAGAGGAGAGAAGAGAGAGAGACAAGAAGTAGAAAAAATAGTGATGGGAAAGGAAGCGAGAAGCAAGTGGGGGAAATGGGAAGGGAAAAAGACAGAGAAAGATACCAGAGAAGTGGGGGGGGGCAGAGAAAGTCAGGAGGAAGAGAGAGAGAGAGGGAGAAAATAGCATTTGGGTTCTTTCCATTGGATTTGGCTGTCTTGCTTTTTGCCATCTTTCTCCGAATGTTTGCCTTTTGTTCAATGTGCTCTTTTGTGAGCTGCTGTCTTTTAAAGTATTATAGCAAAAAAGGAAGGGGAAAAAACCCCTCCTAATGAGCTGTTGGAGTTTAGAAATATCTGACTGTAGCAGCGGCATTAGCAACCTCCCCCCAGCCGCCCTGTGTGGTTTTGGTTTCTGTGGGTTAGAGCAGCTATCTCTGTTCTGCTATTCTGACAGGCTTTATTCTTTCTGTTTAGCCCGCAACTGTCAGCCCTGAGATAATACTTACATAGTTTGCGTGTCTTAGGAAATACAGACATCTTCAGCAGTCTCTCTCCACCCCGCCCCTTCCCCCCCCTTCACGTGTCTCTGTAAACACTGGAAACAGGAGCCAAAATCTCTCTCCCTTTCATTCTTTCTGTCTCTGAGTGTGAGCCTACTCCTGGCCCAGATAACAACTTTTACTGCTAGTTTTGCTGGGAGGGAGAGGCGACAGGGCCTACGCTCCTGGAGTGTGGATGGATAGACAACAGGGGATCCAGGGAAAGAGTCAGAAAAACTCCCCACAGTGGATCAAACCCAAAAGAGATGATGAGATTAGGGGCCAGGGCCCAGAAGCAACAAGCTGGATAGGTGGAAATACACACCACCTCAGGCTTTTGGGATGAACCCACAGAGCTCCCTTTTCATCTTCCCTACCCTAATCAGTGCCTCTCATGTTGTCTTCCCTTTTAGAGAGGCTTAAGGGATTAATTAGGTGAATTATGAATTATGCATGAAAATGCCAGTCAGGTGATCACCCCCTCGTCTGACCCGGACAGTACTATTTGTTCTGGGAAGCTCCGCACTCCTCTTGGTCAGGATATCTGAAGGACTGTGGAGGGAAGGGCCAAGGCAGGGACTGAGCGGAAAGCAGACACTTGGGCTCAGTGAGGAGGGCTCAGAGGACCATTGCAGGCCCCCCAGTGATCCTCTATGATGCTGGATAGTCAGCAACAAGGCGAAACGTGTAACAAGTTGAACCTGACGTCAGGAAGACTGGAGTTTGAATTCTATCTCAGATGCTCACTATATGAGACCCTGAACAAATTACCTAACCTCTCCAGGCCTCAGTTTTCTCTCATCCATAAAATAAGGGGTGGGGGGTGGGGAGGGCTGAACTCAATGACCTCTTAGATCTCTTCCAGGTTTAAATATTTCATCTTATGATCCTTAATCATCTGCCACAAAATTAATTACTAAAAGCCAAACATAAGAAATTGTGATAAATAATTATTTTAGTATTCAGTAGTTTTTTTTACTTCTCCTCAGGAACAATTTTAGAGTAGATAGAGTCTTAGACTGAGTCAGGGTCCTGGATCTCATGCTAAATACCGCTGTGACCTTGGCCACTGTATTGTTTTCTCATTAGCATCTTAGAATAAGCAGAGATCATTCTAGGTGCCTAAAAAGCTACCTAGTCCAATTTTACCAGGAATTTAACAGGAATCCCTTCTACAGAATGTCCCTTAATTAGTCATCTAGGCTCTGAAGGAATTTACTACAATATGAGTAGAGGGGCAGCCAGGGCCTGAAAGTGCGTTCAGATCCCACCTCTGACATTTACTGTGTCTGTGGTCTGTGTGACCACCAGCAAATCACTTATTATTATAATCTCTATCTTATCAGGTTGTTGTGAAGCTTCAGTGAGATAGCACATGAAACACTTTGCCAACCTTTTAACCTTAGCAAACCCTATTTCTTATATAGATGTCAGTTGTTGTGATGATGATGAGAAAGTCTTCTCATTCTTCTCATCTTGCTTTTTAAGGAGTTTAGGTAGTGACTCCTAGGAGAAGTTGATATCCTACTATTATTCTTTATGATAATAGCTAATATTTATTGTTATTCAGTTGTGTCCCCATGGACCATAAAGTCCATGGGGTTTTCTTGGCAAAGACACTGGAGTGGTTTGCCATTTCCTTCTCTAGTGGATTAAGGCAAACAGAGGCTAAGTGACTTGCTCAGGGTCATACAACTAGTAAGTGTCTGAGGCTGGATTTGAATTCAGGTCTTCCTGACTCCAGCCCCAGTGCTCTATCCACTGCACCACCTAGCTGCCTCTGGCTAATATTTATATAATGCTTTAAGGTTTCCAAAACACTTTAACTATATTAGCTTCCCCATCTTTACAACAACCATGTGAGGTAAGTACTATTATTTCTCCATTTTAAAGATGAGGAAATTGTGACTTAGAGAAGTTCAGTGACTTATCCAGGGTCACATATCTTATAAGTGTCTAAAGCAGGATATGAACTTAGGTCTTCCTGACTCCAGGTCCATCATTCTCAATGCTACTGTACCACCCATTATTATTATGGTTATTATTTATATTCACCTCATTCTAATATTTTTTTAATCAAGTCAGATAGAAATGGTCATGGGACAAGTTATTATCTTGTGTGTGTGTGTGTGTGTGTGTGTGTGTGTGTGTGAGAGAGAGAGACTATCAGGGTTAAATGACTTGCCCAGGGTCATGCAGCTAGGAAGTGTCAAGTGTCTGAGGTCAGATTGGAACTCAGTTCCTCCTGACTCCAGGACCAGTGCTCTATCCACTGTACCACCTAGCCACCCCTGAGTTATTATCTTTTATATTTATTACTCTTTGACTATTACATAGTTTGATAAAATAACTGCTTCTTGTAACTGAATAAATGTTAGCTCATTGTAAGTTTACTGAAAGTATCTTCAGATCAATTCTAGTAGCAGACTGGAATGTGAGGATGGTATGTGTCTTATCCTGCTCCCACATTATTTTGATTTCTTTTTCTAGGTCTCTATATTTCAAAAGCTTTTAATTCCATAATTTGGAGATTCAGTATTTGTTATGGCAATGTCTGTTAAAATTGTTGTTCTTAAATTTTTACGAATCAATTCCATATCTGGGCAATTGTGGTAATGGCCTGATTGTAGTATAGTTTATCTGTTGAATCTTCAAGAATTATGTATTTGCGGTATGGAAATTTGCCATCTGTTAGTTTATGAAAAATAATGAATATATGATCCATAACTCTAGCCATCCAGATTATGTCTTGCTATGCTTTTGGTAATGGCTAAATTTTTGCAGCTTATAAAAACATGTTGAGTAGTTTCTACTGTTTCCTTGAATAATCTACGTTGTTCTGTAAGTTGGGGCCCCTTGAAGACAATTCGTCTGTAATTTTGGGTAGTGATGACCTGGTCCTGAATCGCTTCTGTTTCTATAAACAAATCTGTACAACTTAACCATTTGTTCAACATTGTCAACATATTGTTGATTGAGTTGGTGTGGCTATCACTCATGGAGGGCCTTTTGATTCCACTCTTGGGTTGTTGTTGCTTTTTTTTAATTTCATGCTTGCCATCTGGAGGTAAACCACTTTCAGTTACAACCAGCAAATCCAATGATGTATCCCTGTTGTCACCCTTTACTATTGTTTGGTGAAATGATGCCTGCTTTTTCCAAAAGTATTTCCATAAATTTTTAACCTGTTTATCATGTGCTCTAAGAATACCTATTGCTCCTCTTCCTCATTTTTTTTAATTTAAGCTAGGCAATGGGGTTAAGTGACTTGCCCAGGGTCACACAGCTAGTAAGTGTTATGTATCTGAGGCCGGATTTGAACTCAGGTCCTCCTGAATCCAGGGTCAGTGCTCTATCCACTGCACCACCTAGCTGCCCCACTGTCTTCCTCATTTTTGACAAGGGAATATTATTCTTTCCATAGTTGCCTTGTGGTGATAGGCCCTGTGATTTGATAATATTGTATGGATTTTTGTTAGGATATTTTACAAACCTATTGTGATCCATGTTACAGTTCAAAAAGTTTGTGTTAGAACTGGTATGGTGTAGATGGTAATGGTTTTAAACCATTAAATGTTTTCCTATTAAGGTCAATTTATTATTATCATTATTATTACAATTATCATTATACTTTTAAACAGCTCTAATTGTTAAGAAGGGCAGCTAGGTGGTGAAATGGATAAAGCACTAATGCTGGAATCAGAAGGACCTGAGTTCAAATCCAGCCTCAGACAGTTATTAGCTTGGTGACCCTGGACAAGTCACTTAACCCTATTTGCCTCAGTTTCCTCATATGTAAAATGAACCAGAGAAGAAAATGACAATCCATTCCAATATCTTTGCCAAGAAAACCCCAAATGGGTTTACAAAGAGTCAGACATGACTCAGCAATAACAACAATAACAATTGTTAGAAAGTTTTTCCTTAAAGAGAATTCAGGTCTGTCTCCCTGTGACTTCCACCATTTGGTTCTAGTTTTGTTTTGGGGGGGCCAGGTAGAGCCTGTTAAATCTTTCTTCTACTAAGAAACACTTTGATATTGGAAGATATTGATCATAACCCTCTTTTAAATCTAATTGA